CAGCAGGAACCACAACTGGAGTTGATACTTGCATGATCAAGCTGCCTCCGGCTTTGGAATTCCTGAAAAGCGACGGATTCATAGACCGTAAGAATCCTCCATTCTTTGTCTGCACAACTGGACCTAGACCTTCTCCAAGTGGAGGCAATTGAAGTGGCTCTTCGGGAGGTAAACCCACTGGATGAAAACCAGTATCACCGTTGTGAGGAGGTGAGTTCTGAAATGTCTTCTCGTTCATGCCCCATTCACGCATTAGAGCTTCAGTTTCAAAGTCTTCCAACACCTTGGCCCTTGGTCTGGCTATTCTTTCTTGAGTTTCCCACTGGAACTCCTCCTCTATATCGTGAATTATGGACGCCAGATCGAAATCTTCTTCGAAATCTGATGCGGCTTCTTCTGGATGCTCTTCGTCGTATTCCATTTGTGGCTCATCATCTTCTATGTTAAAATCGAACAATGAGGAACCAATGGCTAGTGTTTCTTTCTCAAATTCCCTTAAAAGGCGCTCTCTTGGGGACTCGGGCTCACTACTGAAACTTAAACCAAAAGGGCTGTGCTCAATCCCCAGCATGTTTAAGAACTCACTTGCTACGGAATCAGTGACATCACTCGAGTTTCGAGATATCACTCCCTTTATCGGTGTGATGGAATTTATTTCTTCTGCTTCTGCATAGTTTTCTTGATCTTCTTCAGGATCCAATGCTTCTGTCTCCAACAGTTCCACATTTTTCAGAGCAGATTCCAATTCTTCCATTATTGTTTCTTTTGCGTACCTCTCGTCATTTTCGGTTGTGTGACCTTGTAGCTGCTCTGCATCATCCATGGGAAGAGCAATTTCCTCATCCTTTTGATCAAGTTTAATCCCATCTTCCACAGGAGACTTTGCAGTACCAACTTCAGCAACTTCCTTATTTCCAGAATCGGGAAAGTTCTCAACTTTCTCGAATACCTCAAAAGGAGCTTCGGTCTCATGTCCGATAACTGAAGGCTCTGTAACTTTTTGCGCATCTGCATCATCTTCTTCACAAGAAATTGACTCAACTGGTTCAATGTGCTTAGTGACAACATCAATTTCAGACTGAGACTCAACGGCAGGATCCGCCTTTTCTTCGTCAAATTTCTGATACAGAATGCTTACCGAACTGGCCAAGTCAGAATGGGGAATCGGCAAAACTTCATGAAGATCTTTTATATCCTCCACATTACGTGGCAAAGCATGAGGAGGGTCTTTGTTAACGACACTGGGAAGGCTTTCATACCGCCGAAATGCCGTTTTCTCATTCCCTTGACCAGATTTTATGCTAGAGGTTCTTGTCATCGCTGTGTAATTGCTATTCTGTCTTGGATTTGGAACACCACGAACATTCTGAATGTTCATAGATGCTGCGGTATTACGAGTATCCCCAACAACTGTATACCCGAAACTCACATTGAGAGTAGCACCTTTGGCCTTTCCGGTCAACTGAAAGGTTGTTGACCACTTACCCGAACTTTTCTCCTCCTGCAACTCCTCAAGAGTGAGAGGAAGCAACTTTGTGAGATCCATTCGGTGTTTCCCAAGATCAACCTCAGGAGATCCAACCGCAGATGCATACAACAAGAAATGCTTGGCTTCATACTTAGCCGAGTGGTGAGGTCCATTTCTGCTCCCATAAACCGAGCATGTGTACATCAATTTCTCCTCGAATTTAGCTGTTCCATTCAAGACCTTGGCAGGACGAGTGCTTAAAGACTCGTCACGCCGTTTCAAATGCACCGTGAGATAAACATCCTGGAAAATCGACGGCATCCCTTCAATGGAGTGGACTTGCAAGGAGAAACAACAGTTGAAACGTCGGTTTCGAACATGAGAAAGGGCTCTGAGAGGCCAATTCCAAATGGATTTCTTCTCCTTCTGGGACTCACTAGAGTGGGTTCTAGCTGACGATTTCGAGGGAACGTTGTTAGAATCATTGACAGAACTCCTTGGGTTCTTGTCCGGATACAGAGCTCTGCTTAAGGTTTCCACCTCCTTCAGAAACTTGAGACTGCTAGAAGATTCCCCACCTTCTCCAACTCGCTTCTTCCCAGTTTCGTGTTTTGACAGCATATCTTCGGACTACAAAAACCCAAAATCGAAGAGATCAAATGGTCTAATCGATCCTAAAACCTAGCTGAAAATGGCCCCAAATGTCAGAACTCGAATTTCAAAAAACAAAGGGCCGATTGCTTCCTGGTAATGCAAAATACTACACAACACGACCCAAAATTTGTACTTGAAGAAAAGAATCGTATCACCTGAAGAAGATTCCCCCCTAATCCGAAATCTCTGGGGAAAAGAAACACGAAAAAATCGCAGGAAACCCAGAAATCTTCGATCCTGGATGCAGTTGCGCCTTCTCTCTTGCGATTCTCAAGTTCAAATTTTGAAACGACAACAGGAAAACGAGGGGAAAAGAGACAGACGGGCGACAAGTGATTCGAAAAGGGTTGACGAAATCTTACAGGACATGAAAGAAGGAGACAAAGCTCCGAGAGACGCGTTTGAACTAAGAAGATTTTGAATTGCCGCTGCCTTTTTCGTATCGAAGAACAATCCCGAGTGCCTTTTGTTTTAGTCAACAATCGGATACATATTTCCAAAGTTCTCAAGTCCTTAATATTTCTTCTCATTTCATTTATGTCCCGTTATTCTATTTACCGTTATATAGGACCCTAGGGTTCTGCTCCTTTTTTTTTGTGATAACACAATATATTTTTTTTCCGTTCCGTAAATAAGATTATATGTAACGTATATGCGACCGACCATGTATGTGAATTGTGTAAGGTTAAAAACATGAAAATAGTGGAGAATATCATAGAGTTAATTATCATATTCAAGACAATAGTTAGATGACGGTATAAATAAAAAAATGTCACCTACGTGTATGTGAACCAAACACTATAAACTTGGAATTCCGTTGCACTATACTTTATAAAATTTATCAAAATTAAAACAGTTTGCCGAATACATCCATGTGATATTAAAAATAATTTTCTAACAATTTTTTATTGATTGAGAACAACTTGTGAACCCACTATTTTGTAAATTTATATCTATGATGTTTGTTTCTTATTTAAATGTGTATAATCATTAAGGATGGATATCTCATCCTTTCATTAGGCTGTGTATCTGAATATAGATTTCTAGATTTCTTATTTTTTTTAATTAAAGATATATTTATTGAAATCCAAATATCTACCCTAATATGAGTCTATTCCCATAAATAAATGTATTGACAATTAGAACCTGTGTTGGACATGCTAATCTACTTTCATAATCCAATAATAAATAATTTAAGTTTGTAATTACTTATTTATTCTGATTAATAACAAAATCATCTCACAATTATATTATCATTTATAAAAAAACTGATGTAAATATTTAATCAAACAATATTTTATTCTAAAATTATCTATAGGACATTCATTCTCCATTTGAATCTCTCAAACTTGGATAACCAAGTTTTCCAGATTTCATGAGATTAATTGCAAACAATTCTCTTCTATGCAAATAAATAATGTTTCTCTCACAATCGATCTATGAAAATTGAATAATATATACGATTGTAAATAATTTATATAATTCTCATAAAATAATCAAAATATCTTGTACTCTTTTTTATTCCGGTACATATATACATTCCAAATGAATTTAATCGAATGTTTGAAAAAACACTTCCATCCTTAGAAATAATTACCTAAGCCGACAAACATTAGCAAATGCTTCGGCCTTCATTTTTGTAAAAAAATTGTAAATCCACGTGGTAATCGAATTTAAAATAACTATTACAAATGAATATGTTTTTTGTTAAAAACAAATGAATATGTTTTAACATTTCTTTTTATAAAATCCATTAAATAATAGGTTTATGATATAAAAATAGGTTAAATATTACTTTGAAATACATTGAGGTCATTTTTTTGTCAATTCAATGGATAAAATACATGATGACAACATGCATGAATTTCGTGCACTAATGGTGGAGAATATCTTTCGCATTGGCAATGTAGTCAAAGTCGACTTCGATTTCGACTTAGTGCACAAATGGTCATAGTAACATAGGATTAGGGTTCTGTTCCGCCGTCAGGGTTCGATTTCGACCATATTGTCAATGCGAAAGATATCCTCCACCATTTGTGCACGGAACTCAAGCATGTTGTCATCACGTATGTTATCCATTGACTTGACAACAGAATGACCTCAATGTATTTCAATGCAAATACACCGCAGTTTCTGTCAGTGTTATTCGGATGAAGGCCAGTTTGAAACTCATATTTTCATGCGGTCCCTATTCCACTGAGCGCATAGATCCTGCCAACAAACAAGGTAATCGTTAGACCCCTACTTATCGATGAGACGGTACAACTCTCAAGTCTGAAAATGTTGTTTTTAATGCAGTGAAAGATGTTTATAGCTTGTTGATGGCATTCCAAACGAAATAAAAGAAATGAAAAAATCTGGACGAAAAGTTTTACATCTTTTTTGTCGTCTGATGATGATCCTTCAAATGCCACATATCTTTGAAGGACACGATCTAATAAATCGTTGTGAATATTCGAAAAAAACGATAAAACCGAAGAAATTTTAGCCATTTGCATTACTGGTTATCTGAACATTCTTTGGCTGACAATTGTACTGGATTGTGTAAATGCATATACGAAGAGGACATTGTGCACTCTACGCGTAATCTTCTATCCGGAGAGCTTGTTCATGCTCTACTTGTACATGTAGGTAATACATGTTTCATAGTGATGGGTTCTGTAAACTTCTATTGATATGAGAATTTTGTTTCTTTCAGATTCAGAAGTTAAATTGGATGCAAAAAAGTGAGTTCAACTAGTAAACCTGTATTTTTGGCGTTAATTAAACTATATTTCTTCACACTAATCGTTTCTGCTGCAGAGTTATACTTGAATTTGATCAGATTCTCCGTGCAAACAAAATAAATTTAGCTATTCTGGCTGCCTTACCTGCACTCTTTTCCAGCTCTACCGTGTTCATGTTGCTCCTGACATGCCTTAAAAACGTGAGAAAATGGATGGACTACTGAAATCAAATCAGTTGCATTGATTAAGCATTTGCATCACGTATTTACATAACATGACAACATAGCGAAAAGAAAAAGATTTGTTCGTCTCCACAAGAAACTAGGCGCTGAGTTTGAGAAGAGAATCAGGAAGAACCAATACTACTTGGAACAAGGAGCTATCAAATTTAGTATGTTGCTGCTGGAGAAATCATTTAATGTCCTTTCCTATTTCTGCTCCAGGTGGAGAATGCAAAATGCATGTTTGGGTTGGTCATATACAACCTCGACCGTCTGTGTCAGGTTGAGAGCATACTGGAGGAACTGGGCGAGACCGGTTTGTAAGTTACTTTCCCGATAATAATTATCATTTGTATCCCAATAAAACTGCAACTAGAATCATTGATCAGACCCACAAGATACAAACTTTGTAGAAGCAAAGTTTATCACTTAAAAGCCCTCGTGTATCACAGAAAAAGCTTGTTGGATATGAATGGCATTCCCTCATTAGATGTGTTTTGCACTTAGCATATAAACTAATATAATCGCCAATGGAATTGGGGAAGACCAGTGTCGGAACCTGACAATTTCTCCAGGCTCCTGTCTCAGATTCAAATTCTCCAACATCATTTTTCTTACAATGAAATATAGCAAAAAATGGTTCGGCCGACGAGGCGAGGCAACTATAGGGCGAAACGGTGAGAGAGAGGCTGAGACGGTGAAATCATACTCGAATGCAAAATAACCTAGTGATCTTATATTTACTACTTTGGAAGTTATAAAGAAGCATCTACTCAGACGGTGATGCCTGGAATGTAGATTCTTCTATGTAACTTCCAAAGTAGTAGATATAATATCACTAGGTTTTGCTTCTGAGTATTCGAGTATGATTTCACCGTCTCAGTCTCTCTCTCACCATTTTGCCCTATAGCTGCCTCCCCTCGCCGGCCGAACCATTTTTTGGTACGTTTCATTGTAAGAAAAGTGATGTTGGAGAATTTGAACCTGGGACAGGAGCCTGGAGAAATTGTCAGGTTCCGACACTGGTCTCCTGCAATTCCATTGGTGATTATATCAGTTTATGCTAATTGCAAAACACATCTAATGAGGGAATGCCATTCGTATCCAGCAAACCTTGTTTGTGATACACGAGGGCTTTTAAGGTGATAAACTTTGCTTCTACAAAGTTTGTATCTTGTGGGTCTAATCAATGATTCTAGTTGCAGTTTTATTGGGATACAAATGATAATTATTATCGGGAAAGTAACTTATAAACCGCTCTCGTCCAATTCCTCCAGCATGCTCTCAACCTGCTCTCAACCTGACACAGACAGTCGAGGTTGTATATGACCAACCCAAACATGCATTTTGCATTCTCCACCTGCGGCAGAAATAGGAAAGGACATTAAATGATTTCTCCAGCAGCAACATACTAAACTTGAATAACGAGTTTTCCAGATTTCATGAGATTAATTGCAAGCAATTCTCTTCTATGCAAATAAATAATGTTTCCCTCACAATCGATCTATGAAAATTGAATAATATATACGATTGTAAATAATTTGTATAATTCCCATAAAATAATCAAAATATCTTGTACTCTTTTTTATTCCGGTACATATATACATTCCAAATGAATTTAAACGAATGTTTGAAAAAACACTTCCATCCTTAGAAACAATTACCTAAGCCGACAAGCATATTAGCAAACGCTTCGGCCTTCATTTTTGTAAAAAAATTGTAAATCAACGTGGTAATCGAATTTAAAATAACTATTACAAATGAATATGTTTTTTGTTAAAAACAAATGAATATGTTTTAACATTTCTTTTTATAAAATCCATTAAATAATAGGTTTATGATATAAAAATAGGTTAAATATTACTTTGTTTTTTTTGGTAAAATTAAATATTACTTTGTTATAGTTTAGAGGTTGAATTTTTTTTATTATGTGATTAAAATTTATTGGAGATATGTAAGAAAATAGATAATAAATTTGTATTTATATTGGAACACAAGATTTTGATAAGATATTAATTATGTGAATCGGATAAATGAATTTATAAAGCTCATAGTCACGCCTTAGGAAAATAGACAACAAATTTTTATTTACGATTTCCATAGTTTAAATATTTTACTATTTCCGTGGTAACAATATTTTCGGATTTTAGAATTTAAAAATGAACTTTTCTACATTAACAAATAACAATTAGCGGTTCCAATCGTGGAAATTTTAGCGTTTGCGTTTGACCTTAAATTTCAAAGTGTCACGTCGAAGAACCAAATGTTCAATTCCTCCATTGGACAGAAGATCTCTTTGATCCTGAAATTGGCCGTTTGACTGTTAGGCGTGGCCAACACTAATCTCATCTCAGACGCCATTGACGAGATGCTTTCAGAGTGAAGTTTTGTACTTTCACACTTGGACTTTACATATTCTCACAAATCTCCTTTGGGAGGGAAGGAATATGATAAACCCTAATTTCAAGCAAATCCTCCGTCTTTTACACTGACGAGAAAATTCCAGTTTCACTCCCACAAAGGAAAAAAAAATGGCGAACGAGGAAGGCGATGCTCTGTAAGATCATGATTCGATCCCTCATTCTGTTCTGTCTGTGCTTTTCATCGTTATCTGCGAGCCTCGGTTTGTTTCGATGGGATCATCTCTTTGTGTTTCTTTTTCAATAATTACGATTTCATTACAGACATGAACAACGTCATTGGCTTGCCTGATCGTTTCCGATTATGAATTTCGATATTTGATCGTGTATATCCCTCTGTCCAAAGTTCTAAAGTGCCTGTTTCTTTGATCTCTTAAATGGCTTGTTTGGTGGTGGAAGAGCGCTCTCTCTCTCTCTCTCTCTCTCTCTCTCTGTTTACGTTCTTGGAGATTCCGTTGTCTGTTTCTCTGTTTTGATATATGGAGTACAAAAAATTGATGAGACTTGGATGTGGATTTCAGTGTTTCCCTCTATCTTAGAGACATTAATGCTTAATTGTGCAACAGTTCTTTGATCTTTCTATTGTCCGGTTCATTGATCCTTGTTTTGTGGGCTCACAATTCACTGGACTCTGGTCAGTTTCAAAACAGGTAGAAATTACAGTGCAGTAGCTTCTTGTCGAGTAGCTTCATTGGCATCTGTTTTATGTTTTCAAAGGTGTTCAAGCTTGTAACTCAATGCTTTTCCCTCTCCTCCAAAATGGTTTTGACGAGGAAACACTTGCCTCAAGTGCTGTATTGTTGTTTTCATGCCTTACTGTCGGGACTCGGGTGTTTTTACTTTCCTTTTAGTGATTATTGGTTCATCTTCATGATTGTTTTCTAATATTGTTTTGACATCCTGTGGGTTTTATGATTGCAGGTTTCTTGATATACTCCAAGAAGCTCCACTATACCGTCATCGAAAATCTAGAAGTCTTGTTGGAAGTTATGTTTACCTTATTATATTGGCAAGTTAACTACTCTGTATATCAGTATATTAGTCTCATACTATACATTTACCTTTAACATTGAGTATTGAAACTCAGTTTTGAGGGAAAATAAAAGGATATGAATGTCTGAATTTGTCTCACCATTTGTTAAATTTAGGCCGGTTATGCTACTTTGGCGGCTGGAGCTCCATGGATTCTTCAGCCTGTGCAATCTCTTATTCCATCGTTGCTTTGCAGCTCCAATGTTGCTCTATTGATGCTTACAGGTAGCTTACACTTCACCTTATTACTACTCATTTTATTTGGAATTTGGATGCAGGTCTGAATATCTTTAAATTGTTCTCGATTTGGCTCTGGATCCAATACTAGAAAGTGAAAAGCAAAAAGGAATGAAGTTGTCAGTGATAGTTCTTTATGTTTCACAGTTGTCATTCTCGACAACAAACTGAAAGTCAAAACAGAAAATTAAACTATCATTTCGCATGATGATAAAAGAACTAATTGAGGTCTAAACCCAATCTCATTATTCCATGAGTTGTTGTCAAAAGATAGGGTGTAAACAAAAGGATGTCTAAAGTCAATTATGCTCTCCATGGTGCTGTATTTTAGTTGGCCTATTTGCCCTGTTTGGGCCTCCCATTCCGAGGTTACCAATTTCGTGATTTGGACCTCTTGGGTACTGAAATCTATTGTGATATGGACCCGTCTCATTTCATTACCCCATGGATGGCACCTCATCCTTAAAAAGCTAGCTTATGAGTGGAGGTTGTCCAAAGTCTCATATATAGTTGATATTAGGTTATGACAATATTCTCTAGATTTCTCGTTACCAGTACAAGACTTTAGGCTTTGTTGGGCTGTGTATCGTCTTTTGAGTGATGTTCTCTCCAACTCTATGTCAACTGTAAAATCTTATGTCCTAAGCATGTGTTTAAATTTTCATTTACATCTGTAACAGGCATTTTTCAGAAATATTTTGTGAGTCAGGTCCAGAAGATACGCTTGCAGGTAACAGCTCTTCTTTGTCCTATTATGTTTTTTTTTCTAATTTAGCTGCCTTCTAAGTTTTAGGATTTGTTGAATACTGAGATGCAGTCATCCCATATTATACTTTTAAAATGTTTTTTTCCATCTGAAGAGTCTTCTGAAAAAAGCTTCAATTACAGGGTTATTACAGTTTCAGTCAGAAGTTGAAGCATGTGGTCCGTCTGCCATTTGCCATTATGGCATACGGTAATGTTTAATTCTAGATTCCAAGCATGTTTTTTTGTGTTGCTTGTTTCTGTTCCTTCTGGTTACAAGATGACTCCTTTTTTATTCAGGAAATGCATGTATGCTACTTGTCATGGTGTGGAAACCCAGTATCAGTCTTATTCCCATTTTAACTGTACAGAGGTATGCAGACTTGTTCGGAATTTAGGGTAAAATATTTACGAATTCCTTGAACACCATTGATGCCTATCTCAGGAAAGAAGTTTGAAATATGATGATAAAGATCCCTAACAAGTTGTTCATTTCTTTCCTATTTCTCATTTGGATTGCGTTTAATAAAAATAACCATTGTGTTGCCAAGGTCTAAAACGTTTTCAATCACAATCGTGACTCCTATCAATTTGCAGGTTCATAATGTCAGCTGAAGCAATTTGTGCTGCATCCTTTATGGTTGTATATATTGGTAACACTACAACCTTTTTAATTTTGGGTTTTCCTCGTGGATTACACTCTGCAAATTGGTCTAGATTACAATTTTCACACTTTTAGGCTTACATTTGGCATTGATTTAACTCCTCAACAAAAGCATACTAATGGGAATATATCCATAGTGGATTTAAACCGTCATTTTTCACCATGTTTAAGAAACACAAAATATGCCATATATTGGTCTTCTAAGGCATTAGATTAGTAATAGGCAGTGTACATTGTCTTGATTTCTTATTCTTTTTTTTTTACTTTGTCTCTGTTGAAATGCCACATGGTAGTGTCAGTCTATTTCCCAGTTGATTAAATCTTGCTGGGAATGTTCAAGACTCAAGAGTGCTGCTAAGTTATAGTTTACCAAGGGGAAAACACAATGTACCTTTACACCATACATGTGTTCCCTCGTGTGCCTTATCCATAAGGATGACTGAAATCGTGTTTGTTTTCCAAGAAAGCGTGTACTGTGCAAGTGACAATTGGGATTTCTCTTGTTGAGATGCTTTGCAATTGGCATCTTCTGGGGTTTTAGTGCAGTTTTGTTGTTCTTACATATATTTATTACTGGCAGGTTATGTTCATCAGTACAATTCGGTGAACTCTCAGCCCGATGTCTTAAATTCATTGTATTCCCCCCTTCAACCATCTGCTTTGGAAGGTGTGAGGTACTTTAACTCTCTTGGAGAGACTTGACTTTTTACGTGAAAAAAAAAAGATGAAGCATAATTATCTATCTAGTCTTCATAAAGAAATTCAACCACATTATATTCTACACTTATCCGCTGGACCAACATATGTTTGGAGTCCCTCAAAGTATCTCATTTTTATTTATGACAGTGTAAGAATATTCTTAGTCTTGTTTTCATTTCGGTTTCCTTGACAACAGATATCATGAAGCTGGTCGTCTCTCTGATCAGCAGATGGCTCTATTGCAATATCAGCGAGAGAATCTTCATTTTCTCAGTGAAGAGGTTAATATTTTGAGAATTCTATTCTACAGCAGCAATGTCCTCTACTGATTGTTGAGAAATGTGTCATCCCTTGCTTTATCTACCATTTGTATTACCAAACTTAGTTCGCCAGTCTAGTTCATCATCTTCAACTTGCTTTGTTCTTTGCTTTTGTTATAGTGATCATTTTTTTTTCGGTTCAGATTCTGAGGTTGCAAGAATGCTTGAGCAAATGCGAACCGTCCAGTAGCGGTACCACACCTCAGGTTAGAAGTGTTCTTTCCTGTAGGATCATAATTTAATGATCCATTTTCCATTGAACTTGAAAAGTCGTTACATGCCAAACCTTCATGAAAATTTTCTACAAATCTATGTATTTCCTTTCAGTCCTTTCATAGCATTACATTAATGAATACTTTCTGTCAGGTTGATCTAGCACATCTTGTGGCTGCTCGTGATCAGGAGTTCCGTACTCTTTCTGCTGAGGTAAAGCCAAGTCAACAAAATGAGTTATGCTTGCAGAAGTTGGGAAAGAGAGGATTATACATTTTTTTCGTTTTTATGCACATAACTTTATCACAATTCTGTGAAGTATAAGGAGGATACTCAGTTTATGTGATGTGATTGCAGATGGATCAACTCCATTCTGAGCTCACTCTCGCAAGATCACTGATTGCTGAGAGAGACAGAGAGATACAGCATGTTCGCCACACCAATAACCAGGTCTCTGTTCCTCTATTAACTTAAAACCGGCAAACATTATTTTACGCCAGGATCACTTCACCATGCATTAACTCTCCGTATGCATTGATGTTTACAAGATTGTTTCCCGTCCAACTTTAATCTTATAGTTAAATAGATTTACAAGCCTTTCTTCAATTAAGACGCTGAAAAAAAAAACTAAATCCAATTGCTTAGAGGAATAAATGGATATCTCTAACTCTGCATCTGTTTGATTGGTTCTTGAAACTCATTATTTTCTGTTTGATGCTGCTTGAGCAGTATGTTGCAGAGAACGAAAGGTTAAGAGCTATTCTCGGAGAATGGAGCATGCGAGCTGCAAAGGTAACTGTCTTTTCTTTCTATTTCAAGATTCAAGTTTCCCTTCTTTCTCCTTCCCCCTCAACCTCTTGGAAACATGAGAATTTTTCCTTCCTCATGTCTATCCGTAATCATATGCATGCATAGCAAATGCTTTGGTTGAGAAATGGGCTTATCTATGTGTAGTTTTGTATGCGGAACCATTTTTGAAGTGAAAATGATAGAATATTTGTCCCTTATTCAGTCTAAAAACCCCATTTAGGGGGTCTTCAATAAGGAAGAAAGTTCTCTATACATCTCCTTTATAGACTAGACTACTAAGAATAAGATGGGTTTAGGACATCTGTTCAACATAGTTTTCTAAATTCTTTTATGCTGAAATAAACAAGGTTTTAACGAAAGCTTTCGTCTTGTCCTCGAGGTTAAACTTGGCAAACTTATTGTAAGATGGTTGCGGATTCATCCTTTATTGGGGTTCTCGAAACCCTTTTGGGTGGGATCTGTCTCTATTTTGTGCTAATAAAATCTGCGGACTTTTTACAGCTTGAACGAGCTCTGGAGGCCGAGCGGATATCGAGTCTTGAATTACAGAAGAAGGTTTCTGCACTCAGAAATCAATCTTCATGAAAGAAGCTGGCAGTGAATATATATATATGGTGAAAAAAGATACAGTAGTAATCATCGTATCTTGTAACTGCAAATGGTTGTGGACAAACTGCGACACTGTTTTTGGGAGATGTTCAATGGGTTTTTCTGTACACACGGATTATGATAACGAGGAAAAGCAATATGCGTCCATTCCCGTGTCAAGGGATTTCCCACGTAAAGTTTGGAGCTGAATCCCGGCAGATCGAATGCTTGGATCAGAAGTAACCCGTCGGTGCAACTCGTAACGTTAACGTCTTCAAGTTGGAATTTTTTTTGGTATACTTATGACGGTGCTCGTCAGGTCCCTTACGAAGGACGTGACGTAGGAACCGAGTGGACGTGGAAGGTCCCATCTGTCGCATGCGTGGTGGGCAACGGGCTCGTGGACGCGGTCTCCGTCCACTCTGTTCTTGCGAAGCGTCGTTCATGGAGATGTAGAGGTTTAGGAAGAAGGAAGACTCGACGAGGGATTTCCATTCTCACAGATTTCAATCTGGCTATGTTTCTCAACGGCAGTCTCACCATAATCTCTACCATCCCTGACTCCGGTAGACTGCTTCTCTCCATCGTCGACATGCAGCAGGCGGCGGCTAGGGTTTCGATTCCCACACTATTTAGAAGAATATTATTAAATATAATTATGCTGCTTCTTTAATTTAATGTTCTCATGCCACACAATTCCCTTTTCTTTTTCCACAATTATCAACGATATAATGTGAGTATATTAAGATGACAATATTTAATATAACAAACACGATAAAACCCTAGGTTTCTGTAATTTGGGATTTGAGTAAATTTTAGTATTGGACAGATTCGGAAACGGTACGCGATTTGAGTAAAAAGAATTTTTTTGATATACGATAGTGTTCATGACAGTAATATAGATTTTAATTTTTCACAGATTTTTTTCAATAAATTCAAAATTCAAAATTCAAAATTTCAGAGGAACGCAACGGTAAAAAACAGGGAGTGAAACGGATATATGTCAGAGACTCTGCAAAAAGAGCTTACTTCATTCAATAGCTGTTTCAGGGTTTTCTAGAGAGAAGATTCCGATTCAACTTCTAGAGAGAGAAATTCCGAATCCCTTTCCTTAGTCGTCTGTGTTCTTTGCTTCTTCCCAGCTCTCTCCGATCATCATCATCTGCTCTGTTTACTTGTTTGGATATTCTGAAACGACGAAGAAACCGGTGCAATTGGTCTCCGATCATTTACCCCTCGTCGCCTGACTCACACTGAGTTAGGGTTCCGCAACTCGGTATTTTTTCGGATGTGTTAGAGGGGAAGAGCAGATCTTCTGGGAAGGACTTATCATGGTAATCTTTAAAATCTCAAGATTTTCGTTGTCTTCTTAAAGATTGCTTCTTTTGCTTTTTTGGTTTCTTAAGGTTTATGGATTGATTGTTTGGATTCTCTTTCAGAGGTTTTTCTAGAGAGAGAAGATTCCGACTCAACTTCTAGAGAGGGAAATTCCTAATCTCTTTTCTTCGTCGTCTGTGTTCTTTGCTTCTGCCCACTCCATTTGGTCTCCGATCTGTTACCCCTCGTCGCCTGACTCACGCTGAGTCAGGGTTCCACAACTCGGTATTTTTTTCGGATGAGTTAGAGGGGAAGATTAGAACTTCTGGGAAGGACTTATCATGGTAATCTTTTTAATCTCAAGATTTTCGTTGTCTCCTTTAAGATTGCTTCTTTTGCTTTTCTGGTTTCTTCTTAAGGTTTAAGGAGTAATTCTTTGGATTCTGTTGGGTGAAGGAAAAGGTTTCATTCTGATTTGTCATTTGTTGGTGGAGATCCTTTCATGGGATCTCTATTTCGACGTCTAGCCATTTATGGAACTTCTTGTTGAACTTATTACTGGTACAGGTTCCTCCCTTCTGGGTTCGGAAAGTATACACACAAATATTCTCCTCCATACTCATGTTCTAGTTAATCTCGTATAACTGCTCTGATTTTTATCTTTGGTTATACAGTCAAATCCAGTTCTTGAAGCTTTTGGCAACGCAAAAACTGTGAGGAATACCAACTCTAGGTACGTGGGTGCCCATTCCTCCTTTAACTTGGCTCTTTTAGGATGTCTGAGTTACATATTCAAAGCTTTCGAATCTTTACTTGTCGGAAGGTTGTTTAGTACGCAAAATGTTCACTAAATTAGCTGTGAAAACATAATAGTGACCATAGCCAAACCATTTTTTCATATTTTAAACCAATAATTAATTTGCTTCCTCTTTTGGTGTTCTTAAATAAAAATGTAGCCGGTTTGGAAAGTTTGTCGAGATTCAGTTTGACAAAAGTGGCGTATATCTGTTCAAACATTTTTGTTGGAAAGATGTCGAGTCTGTCTGATATTATTATGTAAAGTATGTCTAGTGAAACCCCTAGTGTTATTTTAAGTATGTCTTATATTGATAATACTTTTTTTTTTGTTTATTAGAAAAGGGCCTGATATTATTGGGCCAATTGTAACCATTACATTTAAATTTTATGCTCGACCCAGTACAGACAGCCCACTTAAAAAAAAAAAATAAGGGTTCCCTGCAGCGAAATAGGGTTTCTGAGCGTAAGGGTGCTGGTTCAGTCTTCAAGTCCCACCGCAAATGTCCTGCGAAGTTCCGGAGCCTCGACTTCTGCGAGCGCAATGGTTATCTCAAGGGTGTCGTGACGGAGATCATCCACGATCCAGGCCCTGGGGCTCCGCTCCCTCGTGTCGTTTTCCGACATTCTTTCAGGTACAAGAAGCAGAAGGAACGCTTCGTTGCCGCCGAGGGTAAGCCTTCCATTTCGTCTTTTTTTAAGAGTAACATGCTTTCTGCTGTGGATGCCTTGTTGATGCAAAAAGGTCCAAAACACCGAGCCAAGGCGCATAGTCATTTTTATATCAATATATAAATCTGAAAAAAGGAAAAGATAATTTTTAAAGAAAAACTTAATTATTTACATAATAATCTATATATATATTATTAATTAATAACAAAAAACTAAAGTTTAATAAAAATGAATTGAATTGAAATACATTAACAATCTTGTAAAAAGCGCGAGGCTCACTTAGACGGTTAAGGATCGCCTCTCTCGCACGAGAGATGCATTATTAAATAATAGAATGCACAGTTAACAATAGAATTGTTATTTAATTGTTTAGACAAACTATATGTTAATTCAACGTAATTAAATTATATTTATTATAATTAAATTATAATCTAAATTTTTGACTAATATGAACAAAAATTAAAATAATTTTAGGGTGATATATAAATATTATTTGTTTTGATAAACAAATTAATAATTATTTTATAAAAATATTAATTTTCAATTATTGTTTAAAATTATATATAAATTTAGTTCTGTATTATTATTAATTTTAATTTATAATTGATAAATAAAATAATTAATTTTATGTAAAATCTTATATATAAATTAATTAAAAATTTGATATAATAATTGGCACATCTCACATCGTGAGATGTCTGGCCAGACCTATTTTTTATTCACCCACCCACGTACCTATTATCTCTCTCTCTCCCACTCACCCACTTTCCCTAGCTTCTGCTCTCTTCGTCTTCTACCTAAACCTAGTTTTTTTACATTGACCGCCTTACTACCAGAGGCGCACGCCTCCGTCTCCGGCCGATGCCCGCCGGAGGCGAGCCTCCAGCCGCCTCCTGCAAATCGCATCGCCTAGGGTTCATGATGCAATTTTGGGTTTGCATCTGCGCCTCCACCGCCTTGGCGTGCCCCAGATGCGCTTTTTCGAACTAAGTTAACAATATAATGTATACTATAAATTTTGAGGTCTAGACCAGTGAAAACGTAAATCTACTCGAAGATGTTATCGCCATAATCTGAAGAATTCGTCTCGACGGCCGAGAAAGGAAAAAAGAAAAAATCGAGACCGTGGTGAAGCGAGTGCTACAACGACGCATGCTTCAATGGGACATGTAAGTATATCGAAATTTTCCCATGATATTACGGGTTTGTGGAAACAGTCGCATATATTCGACCATGATATTTTACGTAAACGGTCTCATGGAGCGAAGCGTATATTTGACCGTGATGTGTTAGGGTTTTCGTAAACGGTCTCATGGAGCATATTGACTTTGATATTTTAGGGTTTACGTAATAATCAGAAAGGTCGTAATGGATAATAGTCAAAAGAGTCGTAGAGACATATACTTAGAAAATCAGGAGAGGATCTTAAACAATATAGAACATATTTAAGTAGGTGGGACTTAGTAGGTCGTAGTGAGTCACATGAGTCGTAGTCTCATTTTTACCTCACTCCAACCCCTCTATATGTATATTGTGTATTTGCAACAGTACGAGATCCTAGTTAAAAATGATCTTATCCCTGCAATAGAAGAGCGATTAATGGATGACATGCATTCCATGGAGCGAAGGATCCTGGAAGCGATCTCTTGTATTAGAAGATCAAGGGCGGATGTGGAGCCAGTGCCTGCTGCTTAAGATCAGCTCTTTCTCCTGACTCCGAAAGTACAAAAAATAGAATGATTAGGAGGGAAAAAATCAAAAGCATAGGAAGCTCATCGTCCTAACCAAAGAGCTTGATCGTAGGGAGGGGTTTCGAGCCACGATCTATCCCAAAGTAAATTTCTCAAGAAATCTAGGACACGTAGCATATTCAAATCAAGCTCTTTGGTTAGGACGATGAGCTTCCTATGCCTTTGATTTTTTTCCTCCTAATCCTTCTATTTTGTACGTTCGGAGTCGGGAGAAAGAGATGATCTTAAGCAGCAGGCACTAACTCCGCATTCGCCCTTGATCTTCTAGTACGAGAGATTGTTTCCATGATCCTTCGCCCCATGGAATGCATTTCAGCCATTAATCGTTCTTCTATTACAGGATAAGATCGTTTTTAACCAGGATCTCGTACTGTTGCAAATACACAATATACATACTGGAGGGGGTGGAGTGAGGTAAAAATGAGATTACGACTCATGTGACTCACTACGACCTACTAATTCCCACCTGCTTAAATACGTTGTATATTGTTTACGACCCTCTGTTGATTTTCTGAGTATGTCTCTACGACTCTTCTAACTATTATCCATTACGACCTTTCTGACTATTATGCAAACCCTAAAACATCAGAGTCAAATATACACTATGCTCCATGAGACCGCTTACGGAAACCCTATTACATCACGGTCAAATATACGCTTTGCTCCATTAGACCGCTTACGGAAACTCTGATATCATGGTCGAATATATGCGATTGTTTCCGCAAACCCATAATATCATGGGAAAATTTGGATTAGATTTTTATTTGATGCTAATTGCTTTTCGCAATATGGCTCCAAAGTCAACACATGAAACATTGTTGTATCAAACATTCAAAAACAACAAGCGGTGTTGCTAGCCAAAGTTATTTCGAACAAGCGGTGTTTCATGATATCACCTTACGTTGGGTTGATGCCTTGTGCTCTGCATGTAATGGTGTCCTATGTAGGGTTTGAAAAAAAACCCCCGAAAATATAAACCCAAACCCAAATTTCGGGTTTTACATACATTAGAACTCAATCTCAATCTCATTGCAATGCAAGTACTCGATTTTCGAGGTGGGCATTTTTATTCGGCATCTGCGGGTTCTCGGATATCTCGACTCACGGATATCCGGATATCCGGATTCCGAATACGAGATAAAACAAGACAAAAAAAATCCGATCTACAGATACGAGTTCGGGTTTTAAATTAATTTTTGTAAATATTTATAAATATTTGCAAAAATACCTAAGAGTACCCCTAAACATTCGTTTCTTTTTTCATTCTCTCATTTATTTCTTTTTTCATTCTCCCTCCTATTTGTGCCATCCATGTTCTCTCTCCTTTCTCCCTTATAATCTATTCCCTTGATTTCAACTGAAAATCATTGCAATTTCTCTTGAATCTCTTCGTTGTCAAGTTTTTCCATCTTTATCTTCATCGCAAAAGGTAAGGATTGTGCAACTTTATGTTGGTTCATTGTTGCCATTGTTGAGGGTTATACATGAAGCATTTTCGAAATTTGAGGTATATGCACTAAATATTTGCTTATAACATTAATGATTCTGTGGTGCATTATTTCATATTGATAGATGTAATGAATCATATCTATTGATTCACATGTAATGTATTTGTAGGTTGTTGGTGATTTCAACAATCGATTTTCATTGGATAATAATGGAGAAGCTAATCAAGAATTTGATTGCAAAACTGCTATCGACAAGTTTTATAAAACTTTGGATAGATTTGAATCAAATATCTCAGTTTCGGTAAGTGATATCTAGAAATATTCATTATATAATAAAATACGCAAGTTCTAATGGAAGCTAATAAACTTAGTTTTTTTTACGATTATTTTTTTGTTAGATTGGAAAGAATCGTAGCCCAAGGAAATTAATCCCATATTGGATTCTGTATGTCTGTGATGCTATTAGGCTTTGTGTTGTTATTATGTGGTTACTACGTTCCAATCACGGTGCAGATGAAACATCATCGAGTATATTCATTGATAATGCTGAGCAATTGGTATGTGACTGTTTTGTTTAAGAAATGCTTATAGGATAACTAAATTTTTGAACTATTTTCTTTTCTTGTTCAGTTGCTTTTAGGGATGGATTTTTGGATGTTTTCCGTTTCTGTTAAAAGCAGAATCATGTTATCGAAATTGAAGATGTAGAGTTGACTCAAAACTCGCTACAAAAGTTTTGAGTCAACTGTACATCTTCAATTTCCATAAATGGAAAACATCCAAAATCCATCCCTAAAAGCAAGCAACTAAACAAGAAAATAGTTCAGAAACTTAGATATCCTATAAGCATTTCATAAACATAGCAGTCACATACCATACCAATTGTTCAGCGTTATCAATGAATATACCCGATGATGTTTCATCCGCACCATGATTGGAACGTAGCAACCACATAATAAGAGCACAAAGCCCAATGACACTACATGCATACAGAACCCAATATGGGATTAATTTCCTTGACCTACGATTCTTTCCAATCTAACAAAAAAATAATCATAAACAAAAAATAACTCAACATTAGAAGTTGCATATTTTATTATAATCTAGATAGTAGTCACTTACCGAAACTGAGGTATTTGATTCAAATCTATCCTAAAGTTTTATAGTTGCTTTTAAGTATTCGAGTGTGATTTCACCGTCTCAGCTTCTCTCTCACCGTTTCGCCCTATAGTTGCCTCGCCTCATCTGTCGAACCATTTTTTGCTACGTTTCATTGTAAGAAAAGTGATGTTGGAGAATTTGAACCTGGGACAGGAGCCTAGAGAAATTGTTAGGTTCCGACACTGGTCTCCTGCAATTCCATTGGCGATTATATCAGTTTATATGCTAAGTGCAAAACACATCTAATGAGGGATCATATCCAGCAAGCATTTTCTGTGATACACGAGGGCTTTTAAGGTGATAAACTTCGCCTCTACAAAGTTTGTATATTGTGGGTCTGATCAATTATATTCTAGTCGAGGTTGTATATGACCAACCCAAACATGCATTTTGCATTCTCCACCTGCAGCAGAAATAGGAAAGGACATTAAATGATTTCTCTAGCAGCAGCATACTAAATTTAAATTTGATAGCTTACAAGTCTTTGTTCCAAGTAGCCTTTGCTTCTTCTTGATTCTCTTCTCAAACTCAGCGCCTAGTTTCTTGTTGAGACGAACAAATCTTTTTCTTTTCGCTATGTTGTCCTGTTATGCAAGTAAATACTGGTGAGGCATAAGATCAAAGCCAGCTTATGGAAGATGAGTTCAAACGATCAAGCAACAAAGAAGGGCTCATAACATCATTCAAGGGAGCACGAGAAGACTTGCACGTGAGCCTGAAGATGATTGGCAAAGTTTGTTTATTGACAACGGAGTGATCATCGACACATAAAAGCAATGTATGTGCTCTGAATCAAAAAGAAAATGGTTGCCTTATAGCCAAACTTTTCCTTTTGTATTAGAGAAAAATCTCATTTATCATGCATCGTATATGCTGGTTTCCATTTCCTGTATGTCTACTGGTTCTATTTCTTCAACGTTTTCTACAATGTATTGCACTACAATGGAATAAGAGAATTTCTTTTGTAATGGTCGACCGTTTGATACATGTTTGGGACAGTCTATGGGCAGAATATGAGCAATTACGCCCCCACACCACCGACAACACGATCATTGCCGAACGCAAAGAACAAGACAAGGTATTCTCTGTTTTATCTTTGCTTGGATGGCACTTACAACGATTTGGTTTACCATGTCCTTCAGTAGACTATGCTCCCTTCTATGGACGAGGTTTTCATGCTGATCCAAAGAGAGGAAGGTAGCCATAATTTGTTCAGTAGCCCTCTTCCCAGCATCGATAGGCAACACTGCAAAAAGACAGGTCATGATAGCAAGTGTTGGTTCTTACACCTCTGAAATACAGAGGCAACACCTCTGGTTCGAAGTCTGCTGCATTTCTAACACAAGATAATGTGGAGGCCCTCATTCATGCATTATGGTCCATGAACAAAGGAAGTGGTACCGAACTTCTAAACTCTCTCATTGTTGATTCCGGTGTTACTAATCATATGTTTTCAAATTCGAAATGGTTTACAGAACTGATGCCATTAGTACAGTCCCGGTTGCGAATGGAATGCAAATACCGATCGAAGGCCAAGACACCGTTGAGATTTTTCAGAAATTAATCAATGCTTTATATGTTCCTCAATTTAAGACAAATCTATGATATGTTCCTAAAATTACTAAAGATTTAGACTGCTCTGTTACTTTCGATACTAGTGGTGTTTGTTTTCAGGATATTTAAACTCGACAGACACTTGGACACGGGGTTCGCAAAAATAATATACTTCTATAATCTATATATTAGTATGTTTACTATTTGGTTCAGGTATCTTTAAGTTTTCTTATTCTTGGCAAGGTTTAAAGGCATAACATGTTTACACTTTTATCATAATTCACAATTGATCATCATTGAATCACATCCTTTCAGCACTCGGTTTACAAGAAAATGTGCAAGAACTTTATATCTTTCCTCTTTAGTTATTTCTCTTGAACCCGATAAGCTTAAACGGGAAACTAGACTGGCTGGCCCGCTCGTATGATGATAACTGTCGGGCCTATAAAGTCGTTGTGGCTATGGATTTCTACCCTTGCTCTTCTCAATGGTGTGTCACACGTCTTCCTCCGGTGATGAATCATTCTAAGAGAATCTGCCTCACGACTTCCGGAGGATTTCTCATGAACGTGGAATCTGAAATCGAAAACCGCATGTTGAAGTCTGGGTCTGAACGATCCGGGGGAATGCAGCCACTGTACGAGGCATCTACTAGTCACGATCTTACTTGGGAATTGTATGTTCTCGAGTAACATTCTTACTTGGGAATTGACACGATCAGAGAACTGTGGTAATGATGGTGATTGCAGGGAAGTCATCGAGGATAAACCTTACTGCGTATGGACAGGACAGGTGATGAACGTATACATGCACATGTTTGGTCCCTTCAGCCTTCCAAAATGGCTCTACCCTATCCCTCATCCCGCTGGTTCGTCCCCTAACGCATTCCTCAAACCGCTGGAGCCCCCAAGCCCTTCTTTCTCCTGCGTCATTCTGTAGTCGTCATCTCATATGCTAATCATCCGCACTCTTCCTTGCTCGGTGGTTTCTCTACCATCTCAAATGCCATAGATTTTTATTCCTTTTGTCTTCTTTGTGGGTTTCAAAGGATAGTGTTTGAAATGGATTTCTGTTTTCAGTTTTTGGTACAAAGAGCAAAAACAAAAGTACAAAGATGATTCGGTCCCAAATACACACATTCCATTCCCTTTTATCCATCTGAATGTAAACATGCATTTCAGAGATATATATATATAGAGAGAGAGAGAGTCCAAAGATTGAGTTCAACACTTCCATAACAATACATAGAACAAGAGTAATATAGTAATTACGACATTTTTTTTGACGGTGTTGAAGGTCGAAACCTCTGAAATATTCCACACTGATGGGTGACAATTCTTCCAGGTACAAGAAGTACCTGTTGAAGACATGGACAGAGCTTTAACCCGAAAAAAAAAAGGTATACCAAGAGTGAACCAGAAGAGAGTCATCATCAGAATAAAAAACACAAACCCTTGTAGAGCTTCAACCATTTCATTCACATGATGATAATGATGATGATCACAAGTATTGTTCATGTATCCTTGCTCGGTTCTCTTCCCACCAGAGTCTCGCGTGCATCTCCCCAAATCTTTCTCGGCTGCAATGATTATTAATAAACGCCAATCCAAAGAGAAATCGTTATGCTTCTTTCGTAATGAAGGAAATTGACGAGTATGAAGTATATAGAAACAAGCGTAGAAACACCTATGACTAAGGACATAGTGATTACATGATTTTTGTCTTTGTAGCTTTAGTTTCTGCTCTGATTTCATAGACTTACACAGTAACAGTTGCAAGAAAATTTACCTGAATCTGACTCGTCTGAGCTCTCTTTTACCTCCTGGTAAAACTCTAATGGTAATATAAACACCCGGTTCATCTTGTTGGACCCATTCATTTTCAAGATCACTGGCATTGCTTATTGACATATCTTCCGACCGATCTGCCTCTCTTGATGAGCTGCTTCTGATGGTGGAGGCATCCATGGAAGATGTTTCCGTTTTGGCTCCACTAATGCTGGAAAGTTTAGGAGTCGAGTTGAGTCCTCCAGAGTCGTAAAAGTGGTGGCTTTGATTTGGATTATGGTCGAGTGAATCTGAAGATGAGTAAGTCAGCCCTGTCGGCCGATGCAAGTTACGTGGCAGCCGTTCTCTGTTTAATGGTGGTGTTGCAGGACTATCTTCTGCATACTCCAGTTTTGCATTCTAGGAAAATATTAAAAGCAATAATCTCATCAAGATCAGAATTCTTTCAAGTTGATGAAAATCCACACATTAGTACAGGATTCCCGATGTGGAATAAATGATCCAAGATCCCCATTAGCTAATCCTAAAAAAGGTGAAACTTGTGAAAGAAATACATCAAGATTCGTCATTTACATTTGGTAGTCCAGTATAAGCAAAAGTTTTACATACATAAACTCAAGAGAAATAACCAAAGAGGAAAGATATAAAGTTTTTGCACATTTTCTTGTAAATACGAGTGCTGAAAGGATGTGATTCAATGATGATCAATTGTGAATTATGATTTAAAAAAAAAAAGTGTAAACATGCTATGCCTTTAAACCTTGCCAAGAATAAGAAAGCTTAAAGATACCCGAACCAAATAGTAAACAGACTACTATATAGATTCTAGAATTATGTGAACTCTCTATAATTCTCCATTCGATGAGTTTTCAGGGTTTTGCTTTGGAACCCAGGTAAGATGGTGCATATATTGACTAGTGACCATTCAAGGCTTAGCAATTAGCATATATTTGCCACATGAAACTCGCGGTATTACAAAATTTACATTGTAATACCGCGTCTAGCTTGTTTTAGTTTACTCAGGAAATTCATCGAAAGCTTACCTCGTCTTCAAACCGTGGTGGCGTGGGAAGCGGGCAAGCTTGGCGGTTCAGTCTTTGAACATTGTACAGTTCCATAACTTTTTCATAGTTATCTGCCCACCATCGCTGAGCTTGCAATTTGTTGAACATGTCTCGGCTGATCAAGAAAAAAAGACGAGTCTACTGTTTTATTAACACATGAAATGCTTGACGATGCTATTTCAAGAACTGAACAAGAACTTAGATTTAGCCGACAAAGAGGCATGTTTTTCTTAACGTTAGATTGCGATATCTATCAATCCTGGTAATCATCTCATATTGATGATATCTGTTCTAGTAACAAGGATTTCAATCTCACTTGGAGAGGTAAATCTGAACCTACTTCTCAAGTACTATCTGAACATCCACTCGGGGTTCTATCAAGGGCAACAATACCTCACAAGGAAGGTATACGAATCATATAAGACAAATATGCCAAATCAAACTAAGTTAAGCTAGTTATAAATGTAATTGACCAAAAAATAAAAAGACAATAATCACCATGGACAAAAAAAAAAGGTGATTAAAATTACGAGACTCAATCAATCTCCTAATCCATAGGTACAATTAGAATAAGCACTAACTAATACTTTTGACAAACTGAAGTCATTGCTTGCGATGAAAAGAGGAAGGACTATGGCATAAAATATTGAAATAGATAATGCCTAACTAATAATAGTAATATAAATATTAGTCAAGAAACAGAGACAGCAAAGGTCAAAGTTAATAATTAGCATGATTACACGGCTACAGTCGGAAGAGATAATGGAAGGTGGTGGTAGCAGAGGATTCCTCAAAACAAAAAAAGTCAAGAAATTTCCCAAAGTTTCCAAATGATTTTGCGTACCCTTTGAGCTTCATTATCAAGAAAGCTCATGTAGAACAAAAAGAGAGTCTAAACGAAAAAAAATTCCCAGAAGATCAATTTATAAGAACATTAACATAAAAGAGACAAGGGTTGAGACAACATACAAAGCTAGACAGAAATCAAAGTAGGATCAAACTCGAAGATGACAAGTAGACAATGATCACAAGGAGATGTAGAGAAACAGAATACGTGGCTGTAACTTGTCGTTTTCCATTGGCGACAGAGAAGTAAACAAAATAGTATGAAGCTATAATCTTTTTGTCTTTTGGTTTATAGTCGCTGGTGAAAAGGAAAAGTTGTTTTTTTTCAGTGGTGACTATTTTTCTATACACAAGCCTCAATGATTTGATAAGACGACGACAAGGACGCGGAGAACAAGGTACTCATGGAGAATTCCATATTTTTTTTATAATATATGTATAACAAACCAACCGACAATAATATTCAAAAATTATTTGAAAATTATAGAAAAATCCAAACTTCCCCGTAAGCCAAAAAAAAATCCCAACATTTGAAAAGGAAGGAACTTTTTGTAAAATGATGCTTGATATCTAAAATATAAAAAATGTATTAAAATAATCTGAATTTTCGTAAAAAAAAAGGACCCAAATTTTGATTTGCCCAAAGAAGAATCTAGACTTTACAAAATTTTGTTGACCTAAACTAATACATTACACATAATATACATATATATATATATCAGATATCAAATTCTATAGACGTGTATATTTAACCAGTAAATATTTATGAGTACAGATAGGACGAAAAAAGAAAAAGAAAAAATGTAAATATTTAAATAAAAAAAACAGGACACAATGAGAGGAGGTGTCCCCACGAAGCACTTGATAAAAGGGGACACCGAGTTTTCCTTTTTGGACCTTCTCGGCCTTTGCCTCTCATTAAGCGTGAAGGTCTCTGTCTACAACTGTGGGTCCCATTCCATCCCATCCCCATTTTCCTATTTTTATTTTTCTAAAAATTAAGAATTTCTATTTTTCACTACAAAAATAAATGAATTTCATCGTACTATGCTTCCAATCTAACAACCAAACAAATATTTATATGTCTATACAAGTATTATTTAAATATCTTATATTTATTATGTGTATTAGTATCGATATATCCCTAAATCATCTAATTGGACAATGAAAATTGTATTTCCCAATTTTTCTTATAAAAACCAAGAGTATAATCAGGTATTTTATAATATTTTATACGACGTTGAGATAAATTCAGATTTGACGAAACCGAGAGTCTATTCATAAAATTTTGAGAAAATTTAATTATAGATAGATAATCTACGGATATCAACAGAAATCAAATTAGAAATTTTCGGTCTGCATTTACCGTCGCCGGTTCAATCTCCATCCTACTCGCATATACACGAGGATTCATAATTCCGAAAAATATCCGATATCCGAATATTCGTCGTCGACGAAATTAGTTTCGGATTCCAAATTCTAATATACGAATCACTGAAATCCAGAGTCGCAAAACCCAAATCTCGGATTAATCATCTACACGATGATTTGGGCTTTCTCACAACGAAAACCATAACGTGTAAACTAATTAGATTTTAAAAAACAATTAAAAATAGTTGAAACCCAGAAAAAGTTGGCGGGGATGAACTCAAGAAACCGACCGTCCGATCAGAAAAATCAGAACCAATCGTCACCGTTGATTCAAAGAGAGAGAAGGTCGTAATCGTAACCGTACCTGAAACGTATTCGCTTGAGATCGTTTCCTCCGCCAGAGAGAGAGACGAAGGTGATGAGAACACCTGGCTCTACCTGAGCTACCCACTCCTTCGGCTCTTTCTCCTCCACGAACACGACCGGGTCGACTCGGTTTCTCCCACTCGCCGATTTCGGAGTTGCCTCGCCGCTCGATATCCCCTTCAGCCTCGCCTCCATCTCCTTCCCCCAAACCCTAGGCGTCGCCCAGCTCGACGAACTGTTCGTCCGCCCGTACGACATCCTAAACCGATCCGAATCGGAATCCGACCCCGTCGGGTTCTTGATCCGGCCCTGACCCGCAGTGCACGGCGTGCAATGCCGGTATGCTCCCGACGCCTTCAACGCCATGTCCTTTAGCTGCCATGGTTTTTTGACGAAAATATCCTCCTATCAGAGATGGAGTCACCAACGCCATAAGCAAAACGAAGAGGAGAGAGAGTGAGAATACTGATATACCTGAGATGTTAGGGATTTCAGGTGCTTCGAGTCCGGATCGTCGGGTTGACTCAGTGAGTCGTCGCCGGCTTTCTTCGGACGAGCTATACACGTCAGCATTTCCGGTTAACGCGTCGGCTCCTCTCTCTCTCTCTCGCTTTACGGTTTCTGAGAATCTGTTACTAATTTGGTGCTTTTTCTTCTCTCTCTCTCTCTGGATTTTGTTTTCTTTGGACTAAACATTTAAATGCATTGTTTACCGGGATTACCGGTTACAGTGAAAAGTTACCGCTTTATATTTCTTCTGGAACGGTAACTCCGCGGTATCTTGTTTGTCATTCGGTGGTAAAACTTTAAGAGGGTCAAAAAAGATCAAATGAATAGAACTAAAGTTACCTTTTGAGAAATCAAATATATTATTTTATTATCTTTAAAATATCATCAAGGCTTGCTACAAAGAAATATAATTAGAAGAGAAAGAACTATTTTAAATACTAGGAAAGACCCGCGCGATGCGCGGATTATTTGTTTTATTGATAATATAAAATTTTCAATTTTTTGTTATGAAAAATCAGTAATATTAATATAGGGAAAAAGTATATTATTAAATTATTAGTATTATATATATATATATATATATATATTTTGAAGAAACAAAAACCAAAAGAACTTCAATATCATTGCATTATTATATTATTAAATTATTTTTGTGATATTATCAATAACAATCATAAAATCACATATCAATAGTCTCATAACCCATAAAACTAATGCTAAAGAGTGATCTAGCACGCAACGATTGGAGAAAGATACTCTAAGCAAAACATGCGACTATACATCTCTTCGTCCATCAAGAAAAATGCCAATATCTTTTCAATCACTCCACTCGTCTGCTACGAATGACCGAACCGTCAATCCTTCGATTATCATTATTCGAATATTCTTGCCAAAACAAACAGTCTTCCATTAGATTTTGTCTCCTTGTTCTTGCAGTCTTCCATTAGAGATTCTGCCAAAACAAACAGCAGTTTTTCTTCCATTAGAGTTTTTTTTTGCAATTTTCACGTGGAAGATCATGATGCTAAGTGTTTCTCTTTACGGTTTTCTGAAGCTCACCGGTTCTAACAACAAAGTCTGTGTCCGTTGAAGAAAACCCGAATGAAGAATCATTGTTCATGCAGTCTCTTATCTACTTCAATTGCATCGCTATCAAGGTGAAGTTAGTAAAATTCACCATGGGAACGTAAAAATAAAGGAATAAACATATATAGCCACAATGTCACTTACTCTATTATGACTTTAAGTCCTTGCACCCTTTGCATTAAGATTATGTATTTCTATTCAAATATTCTTCAATAGCTGTCCAGACCCATCAATTCTTTCCATGCTGCAAAAGTCAGTAGAATGAGACAATTTCTAACATAAGAAAAGATAGATTATGACGATAGTTCGGTTCGAATAACCGAGAGATGAGATTGTGTATCCTTCTTCGATGTAAAATCTGATGGAAGACTAACCATTGCATTTTTTTTTTAGATTAGCCTTGATAATATCATGGAGATATCTTCTAATGTTGGCTTCTCCTCTCGCTAAGTCTCTTCCTGTTTAGTAAAGCAAAAAGTCAATCTTCGCCTCAGTTGATGTTTTGCCCTCTCTAGCAATGGCAAGAAAATCAGAAACTACGACATCTCCATCGGCCAGTGCTGGTATGAAACCAATCGGATTGACCTTCTTGAACTCTTTAAGGATAAAAAAAAATTTAACTTAACCAATGCTGAAAGTTCCACTGAAATATATATATGAAAGTCAAATCCCATATGCACTCCTATATATATATAGATGCATACATACATACAGACATATTCAAATATATACAGAGGATGAGATACATACTCAATCCATTGATTCACATGAAAATCAAGTCAATCGAGTCTGAAATGTTCCGAAAAACGAACCGATCGAAACTACGAACCTGGGTTGTGTTGGTCACTTATGAGCAAATAGACGGGAATATACTCGTAATCAAGCCCTAAAGTTCACCAAACCATAACAAAATGGATTAAAAAAAGATGGAAAATTTTGTGTTTTTATACGTGACAGAAGCCGATATTTAAGACAAAAACCTTTGAAATTGAGAGTGATTCGAACGCAATGGGCGCATGAGCTTTTCCCGTAAGAGTATAGCTTCATCTTCTCCTTCGGCGGAAATCGCCTGATGAGACATGAATATAGGATTTTACCGATCGTCGAACGAAATAGCCAAAAAATTTGCAAGAAACCGCGGATCGATGCGACGATCAAGAAATGAGAATGAAGATAATGAAACTGAGAGAGAGACTGTTGCTTGCAAATTGTGCCATCCTATACTCGTTTTTGTCTCCGAAACATCATGACGGTTTCTTTTTTTTAATGATTTTTTCTCCACTAACTATCTTAAATTTAGCCATTAACTCCAAAACATCCGTTTCTTTTTTTTTTTTATAATTTTTACTCCACTAACTATCTTAAATTTTTTCATTAATTCCAAAACATCCGTTTCTTTTTTCAGATTTAAAGATTTTTATACCACTAACTACAATAAATTTGTCCATTTACTTCAAAGCATCATTTGTTTTTTTATGTGATAAAAATAGATTTTTTTAATTATAAATAACTTCTTGATATTTTCTTTTTTATATCACTAAGTTAACAAATTTTTTTTTAATGGAAATGTAATCAAATGAAAATTTTAATAATATATAAAACAATAAAAATTTTAATAATATATAAAACTAAGGTCAAAATATTTTTTAGTGATAAGATAATCAATATATATATATATATATATATATTACTAATTATCATTTTATTAACATATAAACTAAAGATAATAATAATGTGTTTTTAACTAATTTTTATTATTATATATTTAAGTATTTAATAAAAACATATTTTTCATGTATAAATATGGTAAAGGTTAATAAAGAATTAAAAAAAAATTGACACATGGATGATGATGTGGATGCTTAGGTGGTTTCACCACAATCCTTTAAACTCTTTTATTAATATATATAGATTTTCAAATTTAATCAAATTTATTGGTTTGACAGACTATTTAAAAAAAAATAGGAATTTATTGGTAATTTTAATCAAACAAGAGTTTATAAATTGATTTCCTAATTTCATAGAGACTGTGGTTTGATCAATTTTAATGGATTTTTTTTTTTTTTGCAAAATTATAGGATATATATATATATATATAATTATGGAAAAAATTACAGAAACTTCACCACATTGTACAGAAATGAATCCCAACACTTACGTGTTTATGTGTTATCTAAACTAGATATTAAAAAGGTATCATTATTAGGTATAAATAAACATGTAAATCGTGGTATTAAAGTAATTTGATTAAGCGTAAAAAAAAAGATATTTATATTTTACTTTGGGCTTTAAGAGAATTTAATTTGGGCCTTAAGTATTTAGCCCATTTTAGCCCACTTTAGGCCATCCCCGCTGTCTTCAGGAGACTGGACAGACTTCTACTCTCTCTCTCCAAAAAGCTCATTTCAAGGGGAAAAAAAAAGGGAAAACGCGATGGGAAACAGATAGAAAGTGAAATCGATTTTCTGCTTCTCTAGCATCTCCGAGAGCGAGAGAGAGCGATAGAGGGAAAG